ATATTAGTTTGATTTTTTTTTAAATTTAGTATTGTAAATTTGATTTCTTTTTTATTTAATCTTTTTTTTTTGATTTAGCATTATAAATTTGATTTCTTTTTTTATTTAATCTTTTTTTCAAGTTTAATATACAGAGGGTTATCAAAAGTTTCTGAACGAATTTTTATATAATATAAAATGCTTAATTTTTAAAACTCAACCAAAAAAACTTTATTAAAACTTTATTTTAAGCTTATTAAAACCTAAAATTTGTATTATTAAACTAGTATTTAATTGGATCACCTTTCGCTGCAATCACTGCTTGAATTTATGCTAGCATACTATTGACTAAATTTTCAATCAGACATTTTAGAATTGCTTTTCATGTATTTTTAACATTCCTTTTAAGTTCAGCAAGGTTTATTAGCTTTTTCTTTTTATTTCTAATTTTCTTTTTTACTTCAACCTATAAATTTTCAATTGGATTAAGGTCTGGTCTTTAAGCAGGCCAAGAAAGAATATGCAAATTTTTTTCTGTATAAAATGATAATGCAACCTTTGTTTTATGAGGTCTAGCATTATCTTTTTGAATAAACCATTATTTCTTGAAAACATGCGCTTTATTATAGATAAAGCATATTTTTGTAGTATTTTAACGTAAGTAGTTCTGGTTGCTGATCTATGAAGTGATATAATCAGTTCTATCCCTTTTCGTGAAAAACAACTCCAAAATATGCAGCTTGGGCTGTGTTTAACTGTGGCTCAAATACAAGAGAGTGACTATTCATCTTCTGGTTCTCTCTATACTCTACTAGTATGACTTTACTAAAATTGAGTAAAGGTCGATTCATCACTCCATAATATTTTTGCCCAATCATTTTTATCTAACATTCATGTTCTAAATATCATACAAGTCGTGTTTCTTTATTTGCTGGTAAAATGAGAGATTTTCATCATGTAATACAACTTCTTAGTCAAGTAAATGAAAGGTGTGACAAATAGTAATTTCTGAAACATTCTGGCTTATTTTTTTTCTATAGTTCTTTTATTCTAATAGCACATAATCATCAATTTTGTGCTTTTTTGTTTGTTATCAAATGTTTAAGCTGATTGCAATTTATGATATCAATCAGATGTGATCATTTAGAACGAGGTTTAAAATCAATAGATTCAGTTTTGGCATACCTTTTTAATGTATCATAAACTGTTATTTTGCCACATCCAACAGTTTCTGCAATCTGATTATATGAATGCTATTTTTACAAAGATAAAATATGACACCTCGTTATTCTACAGTCAATTCATTATTTTTTTCTATTGTTGCAGTTGTAATCACAATTTGTAAAAAAAATAAAGTGAAAAAGAAAAAATGAAGTTAGAAATGTTTTTTAAGACAAATAAACAAAAATAACCCATATTTGTATAATAAATATTACCTTTTTGTATAATAATCACATTCCAAAAGTTACATTCAGAAACTTATAATAACCCTTTATAATAAATTTCTTTTTTAAGTTAAAGTAAAAACATTTTTTTATATAGTTAATTTAGTAAAAAAAAAAAATTTAATAATAATAGTATTTTGTTTATATTTTTTATTTATTTATTTTACTTATTTAAATATTTATTTACTTATTTTAATATAGAGAAGTTAAGATAATAATCATTTTTATATAATCAATTTAGTAAAATAATTTAAAAAATAATGAATTTAATGTTAATAAATTTGTTTAAAATTTAAGTAAAGCTAATTTTTTATTATTTTTTTAAATTAAATAAATATTTTATTTTACTTTATTTTTTATATATTAAAATTTTGAAATTTTTTTTAATAATAACAAGATTTTTTTTATTTACTTATTTTATTTTTTTGGATGTTTATTTCTTATTTTAGTTAAAAAAAAGATTGTTATTTAAGAAATTAATACAAAAATTATTATAATTTATATCTATATAAAAAATATTTAATATTTGTTTTATTTGTTTAATTATTTAATTTTGTATATTATTATATGATTGGTATGTAACAAATTTTTTATTTCTAAATTAAAATAAATAAATAATAAATAAAAATTATAAATAAAAAAAATAAATAAATAGAGGGAGGGTGAAAAAAATACTTTATCTTAGATTTAAGATTCAAATTTATCATTTCTAATTCTAAATCTATAATCTAGAATCATGATTTTAAATTCGCAAGCAAAGTTTCTAGTAGATCATAATTAAAAAAGATATATATAACAAGTATTTTGATGATTATTCAGTCAGAATCTTATGGGTTATATATTCAAAAAAAATATAAAATAAATGCTATATTACTAAATTTAATGATATAATAAATTATTAAATAAGAAAATTTTAGCAGTTATTTTTTATACTACAATAATATTTAATTCTTGTCAATTTCAGAAAAAACTGCAGTTAATCTTGAAATAGTTTCTTTTTTTTTATATTGTTCAATATATTCAAATCTATGTTAAAAATAAATAAATAAATTATAAATAATACAAAGTAAAACATTTATTAAATTTTGAATATTAATGTGTTTGAACGTATATGATTTTGTATTATCCTTTATTAATGATCATAAGATAATTACAACTTACAGAGAATCTTTAAATACAGATAATCTTTATTTTATTAAACTTGCTATATATATTTATAAAAAAAGATTATAATATAAACAACACTGCAATACTAATGTAAATACAAAAAATATTTTTATTATCTTGAATTATTCTACATGTAACTTATAATATTAGAACTTATTTTAATTAAAAGTTTGATTTATATATTCTGGACAAAAATTGATTACATTATCTATGGTTAAAACATGTGATAATAATAATGTTTTTTTTACTTTTATCTTTTATTAGAATTAACTAAAAATTAATAATAATTCTACTAATCTTAACCATCTAAGTAATTTTATTAGTATACAAAAGGTATTTATTGATCTTCTTTAGTTAGAGTTTCTCAATATAAGATTTTTCCTTATTAACTCATTCAAGTAAATGGTAAATTTTTTTTTAAAACAATAAATTCTTTATTTTAATTTTAAATTTTTTTAATTAAATGATAATATATGCAAAATTTTCACAATTAGCACTATAGTAAATAAAGAAATTAGAATAAGCTTTTTAATTAAAATTGATTCTACCCATTCAAAAGAAATTTGAACATATCTGATAGTCAGTTATACATAATCTCCTTTTGTTATATCCTGATAAACTAACTTCTTACATAATTTATAATCCTTATTTTCAAATATTTTTAAATCATTTTCATAAATATAATGATAATAAGAGTTAAAGAGTATTTAATTTAAATAAAAATATCAAAGCAAGATTCATAATAAAAAAGATTTTTTTAAATTTATTTAAAAAAAATTAATTATAATAAAATAAAGTAATAACATTTAAATACTTTTATTTGATACTTTTTTTATAAAGTATAGTAATTTCATAATATATATTTATATTAATACAGTTTTAATAAATTATACAAATAAATATTCCAAAAACAAATTAATACAGATAAAAAACTATTATTTAATGAATATTAATTAATTGAAATAACACTAGTCAAATGATAACATATCATGAAAATCAGAAACCTGATTTTTCACTGATTTTTCAAAAAATTTAACTATTATACAATTCTAATACTTCTTTCTAGATTTTTGTTATATTTCTGAATATAACTAGACGTAAATACTTTATAAATATCAGCTTTATATTAGTAAAGAATCAGATTCCTAATTTTTTATAAATAAATGTTTAATGTTTACTCAATTAAAAACTAAATATTTTGAAGTTTTAATCAAATATAAGGTGTAAATTGGATAAACGTTATATTAATATCAGATTCCTAATAGTTCACTTATATTTATACAATACTTTAAATATTTATGTAGATTATCATAAAGCATTATTTAAAATATAATACACACAGGTAGTAATTAAAAATCGTGATATGCACATTATTTTAATCAATTTATTATTATTTATTACAATACATTATATAGCAATAATAAACTAATCATTTACATTTAACTAATATTTACTATTACATTCATTGTTATATAGAAATAAACTACAAATATATCATTAATATTACATACTCTTTTTAAATTCAATATACTTAACAATTTAACAATATAAATACATTAATTAATTATTTTTGTGATTCAACTAAATTCATCAGATTTATCCGTAGGTTCATTATTATTGAATTTATCTTACAATTGTTTATTATTATTATCAGAATAGTACAACTGTAATATTGACCAATTGAAAGTATTTTCAAGTAAATTTAATTTATTGATTCATATTTCATCTTCATATCGACCATATTTTAAAAGTTTTACATAGCTTATATTTTTGCTTACTCAGTTAGCTATATGAAGTAACTTACATACCTATTAAAACAAAAAAGAGATAATAAATAAATATGTATAAATAGTTATACAATTGTTTTATTTACAGTATGATCTTTAGCGCTTATTATAAATACGAAGAATATATTTATCTATTTTTTTTTTATTTTTAGGATGAACATAATTTTTGATTTCTTTTTTGATAAGCTCTTCATCAGTTTCAGAAAGTTTATTACTGTAAAATCCTCCTTCATTAAATATAAGTTTGCAACCTTTCTTGAATTCTTTTCAAGATAATGATGATAATTAAAGTTCTTTAAGTGATACATCAGTAATATTAAACATGTACTTGATGCCTTTCTAACATCATTCTTTTTTCTATTATTAAATAAATATTAGTGAACTTTGATTTCATATTATGATTATCTACTAATACTTATATTTTTTCTTTGAAAATTAGTTCCTTATCTTTTCTTTTTTGAATTAGTCTTATTCAGATTAAGGTTAATCAGCCAGTTTTCTCTATGATAGTAGTGTAAATTCTGTAAGATCCATTTTAACTCTGTATTTTTGTATTGAAATCTTCTTATCAAAGCTCTAATGATTTCTTTCATAATGCATTTTGAAATATATGATGTAATTTCTACTCATTTTTTGGTATGATCCAATTGTAATGAATTTTAAGATCACTAAGTATTAGAGTTGGAGTTGACTGAAGAGTTAGCTGAGAAGTTGTTAAGGTTAGTGATAATTCATTTTGTAAATCATTCCTGGTTTGAGATTATTAAACTTATTTTATAAGTATAATGATAGCTCTGTTTAGGATCTCAATATCTATAAATTAAAATCATAATATTATTTTTAAAAAAAATGTATGATCATTATATTATGAGAAAACTTAACTAGACTGGGGTTCAAGTTGCTTATTCTAGATTCCCAGGGTTCAGACTGGGTAATCTAGACCTATAACTTAATTTAGAAATTCTATATTAATACATAATCTGCATATATTTATATTTATATCATAATAAATTTTTTTACTTTTATTCATGTCTTTATGTTACAATAAAAATTTTGGGTTAAAGTTTTTTCATACTGTTTATATAGTAAATTTTTTTTTGTATCATAAAAACTATGTCTGAAGTTCAGATTTCTATTCAAATTTATCAATCTTAAGTTAATGACATATTTAAGAGTCATGATAAGTTTGTTAATAAAATTCAAAGATTATGCATATAAACTTGGTTTTATTATTAGACTTGGAAAAGTTGAATATTTAAATATTACTAAAAATCAAAATTCTAAAAAATTTCTAAAGAAAAGGAAGAAATTATTACAGAAAAAAAAGTTCAAAAAAGAACATTATTATGTTTTTGAGCTAGTTATTCTGAATTAAAAGAATATGACTCTGAAGATGAAAATTTAATTAACAAAGAATGAAATCAAAAATCTCAATGATATAGTTATTCTTTTTATATTCGTACTTTTTTTAATAACTTTAATAGTTTATAGTATATAATTAATATGAATCTTATTTATAATCATCAAATGGTTAATAAAAATCATTAATATTTTATGTCTAATGAACAGAGTATTCTTGATGATGTTAAACAATGAATAAAATTATTATGTTATACTGATATAGATATTTTCACCATATGTGCAATTTTAAAAAAAGAGTTTAGTGATTGTATTACATAGGTATATAATGATATTTATAATTTTATTTATCAATAGTAGGTTCTGGTTCAGAAAAAAAATTTTTGATACTGAAGAATTTATAAAAATATTAGAACAACTTAAATATGATAATGCAGAATTCTTTTATTATACTGATATTAATAAT